TTTTGGGGACTATCTTAGAATTCTGCCTACCACAGGCACTGATGAGACTAAATAGGTTAGAAGCCTATCAAGTTTTGAGGGATTTTTATTGTCAAATAACCCCAAAAATGACAATAAAATAAAAAAACAAAACAAAACAAAAAAAACCTTTTGAGCCCCCTAACTTTCATAAGCAATCACTGCTGGATGTCTATGCCCAAGACCACACTGCTGAAGATGGAAGAGCCTCAGTCCACCTAGGTCTTTAAATGTCTGCATGGAGCAGAAGTCCCACCTTCCCCTGCTGCCATTCTGGCTACCCTCCAGACTTTCTGAAAGTGAGAAATGATTGTGTTGAACCATTGAGATGCTTGTTTTATCTACCCGAGATGCTAACATCACTTTAACCAATACGATACCTGGAAAGGCAATGAAACAACTAATTGGAAGGGATTTTGGGGGTTCCCAGATGACCCAGTGGAGCCAAGTTATATATCTCCCCTGACCACCTTTCCTTTAAATGTCTGTGTTGTTTGAGCCTCTGAATTTTTAGGTCTCTCCTTCTCTCTCTTACAGTAGCTTAGTCTATATTCCAACTAATAAACACATTCTCTTCTAAACAACTTTTACACCTTTATATTTGTATCATTCATGCAGGAAAGCTTAAGTATTACCTTTTATTTCTTATCTGTCTCTGTCTTGATCTGTTATTTATATTTTTACTGTTAATTAACTTTATGAGTGTTTATAGATTTTCTCTCCAAAGTTATAAGCTCCTGAAAGGACTGGGACTATCTCTTATGAATTTTTATGTTACATGATCCTTAATATTATTCCTTAAAAATAGAAGAGTTCATTTTGATAAGTTCTTTATAGATTTGGATACTAGCCCTTTATTTGATATGTCATTTGCAAATATCTTCTCCCATTCTGTCGGTTGTCTTTTGGTTTTGTTGACTGTTTCTTTTGCTGTGCAAAAGCTTTTTATCTTGATGAAGTCCCAATAGTTCATTTTTGCCCTTGCTTCCCTTGCCTTTGGCGATGTTTCTAGGAGGAAGTTGCTGCGGCTGAGGTCGAAGAGGTTGCTGCCTGTGTTCTCCTTTAGGATTTTGATGGACTCCTGTCTCACATTGAGGTCTTTCAACCATTTGGAGTCTATTTTTGTGTGTGGTGTAAGGAAATGGTCCAGTTTCATTCTTCTGCATGTGGCTATCCAATTTTCCCAACACCATTTGTTGAAGAGACTGCCTTTTTTCCATTGGACATTCTTTCCTGCTTTGTCAAAGATTAGTTGACCATAGAGTTGAGGGTCCATTTCTGGGCTCTCTATTCTGTTCCATTGATCTATGTGTCTGTTTTTCCACCAGTACCATACTGTCTTGTAATTTGTAATAGAGCTGGAAGTCCGGAATTGTGATGCTGCCAGCTTTGCTTTTCTTTTTCAACATTCCTCTGGCTATTCGGGGTCTTTTCTGGTTCCATACAAATTTTAGGATTATACCCAAAGAACAAATAATCCAATCAAGAAATGGGCAGAAGACATGAACAGACATTTTTCCAAAGAAGACATCCAAATGGCCAACAGACACATGAAGAAGTGCTCAACATCACTCGGCATCAGGGAAATCCAAATCAAAACCTCAATGAGATACCACCTCACACCAGTCAGAATGGCTAAAATTAACAAGTCAGGAAATGACAGATGTTGGCGGGGATGCGGAGAAAGGGGAACCCTCCTACACTGTTGGTGGGAATGCAAGCTGGTGCAGCCACTCTGGAAAACAGTATGGAGGTTCCTCAAAAAGTTGAAAATAGAGCTACCATACAATCCAGCAATTGCATTACTGGGTATTTACCCCAAAGATACAAATGTATGGATCTGAAGGGGTACGTGCACCCCGATGTTTATAGCAGCAATGTCCACAATAGCCAAACTGTGGAAAGAGCCAAGAGGTCCATCGACAGATGAATGGATAAATAAGATGTGGTATATATATATATACAATGGAATATTATGCAGCCATCAAAAGGAATGAAATCTTGCCATTTGCAACAACGTGGATGGAACTGGAGGGTATTATGTTGAGTGAAATAAGTCAGTCAGAGAAAGACATGTATCATATGACCTCACTGATATGAGGAATTTAATCTCAGGAAACAAACTGAGGGTTGCTGGAGTGGTGGGGGGTCGGAGGGATGGGGTGGTTGGTTGATAGACATTGGGGAGGGTATGTGCTATGGTGAGCACTGTGAATTGTGCAAGACTGTTGAATCACAGACCTGTACCTCTGAAACAATGCAATATATGTTAAGAAAAAAAAAAGAAAGCAGGAGGGGAAGAATGAAGGGGGGAAATCGGAGGGGGAGACGAACTATGAGAGACGATGGACTCTGAAAAACAAACTGAGGGTTCTGGGGGGGGATAGGTTAGCCTGGTGATGGGTATTAAAGAGGGCATGTATTGAATGGAGCACTGGGTGTTATGCACAAACAATGAATCATGGAACACTACATCAAAAACTAATGATGTAATGTATGGTGATTAACATAACAATAAAAATTTTAAGAAATAGAGGAGTTCAGTATGTATTTATGATTTTTGGCTACTCTAGAGCTCCTGTATTTTTTTTCATTGCTTGTAATTCAAGTTTCTGTCTCCAAAGATATAATACTTTCATTTCTTAAATTAATAAAATAAAATAACACATTATTAGTCCAAATATTAAAAACCTCATTCTTAGTTCTTTTGGCCTCTTTATGTTATGATAATGATATTCCTGCCTTAGATAGTGAATGTATTCTAGGCTTATCCAGCTACAGTAGCAATATTTTGTGAGTAAAGACAGGCAGTATTAAAGAAATCCCTAACAGAACCTACCTAATTACTTTGAAAATATCTCTTCCCAGTGACTTGACAGGACTGTTTTCCGTAGGAGAGAATGGAGCCTGGCAGAGAACATTCAGGGAGGACAGATTGACCTATCCAAATAGCACATTTTTCCCCTCTGAAATGGGACAAAAACAAGCTTACATTTACTCTACCAAGTCTTTGGTCACATGAAATCAAATATTCAGGTGAAGTTTTTAAAAATCAATTTTATTTCACTGTTGAGCTTTGCTTTCTGACTTTGAGAAGAAGTTCTCTAAGGGCCACTGCTTGATATAAGTAGATTGATCTGAAGGACAGAAGACATGAGTTTGAAAACTAACCAAGATCTCTGGATGGCTTGAGGTCCCAGACCAGGTGGAGTCCAATGGACTACACACTCGGGGGGCTGATTGTTCCCATGTGCTCTCCCAGGGTTCTGAATTTGAAGCTGGTTAACAAAGACTATGCACAGGATGCCTGGGTGGCTCAGTCAGTTAAGCATCTGCCTTTAGCTCAGGTCATGATTCCAGAGTCCTGGGATCAAGTCCTGCATCAGGCTCCTTGCTCGACAGGGAGGCTGCTTCTCCCTCTGCCTGCTGCCCCCTTGCTTGTGCTCTCTATCTCTGACAAATAAATAAAGTCTTTAAAAAAAAGACTATGCACCATCCATAAAGTACTGCATAAACATATACACACACATATATATTTAAAGTATGTAAAAGTTAACTTTATATACAAAAGTAACTTCAGGGGGTGCCTGGGTGACTCAGTCGGTTAAGCATCTGCCTTGGGCTCAGGGCATGATCCCAGGGTCCTGGGATGGAGCTCTGAGCAGGGAGCCTGCTTCTCCCCCTCCCTCTGCCCCTCCCCTCTGCTCCTGCTTGCTTTCTCTCTCTCTCTCAAATAAATAAATAAAATATTTTTAAAAAAGTAACTTCAGGCAAATATCCCAAATTTATAAAAGATATAATTTACTGAGTTAATTGGATATAAACTATTTAGGTGCCTATGCTCTAAATAGAAGAAAGAAATAAACCATATGCTTAACTTCTTATGTAACCTATTTTTTCACTAAGGAATGCCAGTAGATAACTTTGTTTCTGTTTACTGAGGAAAAAAAAGTTATTGAGTTGTGAAATTTGGTGGACCTAAATTTAGACTTCATCTCAAAAAACAAAAATATTTTTGAATAATTATGACTGGTTAATTAGTTGCTGCCTTCTATTGAGTAGTAGCCTTATTTTAACTGGAGGAAAAAAACAGCTTTTTGATTAGACAGGTGATATAAGTTAATTTATTGAATTAACTGATTAACTGAATAAAGTTAATTCATTTTCTCTAATAAGCACTAAAGGACTTCAGTATTTAATCTTTTCTTAAGTGTGGATTTATTATACTCTTTTGGTTTTCTTTTTTTCTGTTTTACCATCTCTCATAAATAGCTTGTCTTTCATCTGAAAGTTATTTCAAACTATACTGCCACCTAGTGTTTATACAATTTCTCTGGTCCATCCTCTCTAAGAAATAAAGTGATGAAGTCATTGTTTCATGGGTGAATATTTTAAAGTAGAAAAGCAGTGTTTTTTTTTTTTAATTTTTCATACCATGGACTCTGAGTGAACCAAACTTATATTTTAAATTAAACTCAACTTCTAATTTCACCTAAAGAAAGCAACCAGTTATTTTTAGTAGACTTCCCATGGGTCATGGCTGAGATGTTTAGTATTCTGCAGACTTCACTGAAATGTTTGGAATTCACAGAGCTTCACACAATGTCAAGTCCAAAGTAGCTGCTTAACAGATACTTAAAATCATAGACTGCTAGTGCTGGGATGTCCTAGCTGAGTGATTGGGGACATAGGGCAATAGTGAAAAACAGGGATCACTGTAAATATGCTGTTATTTGTTTTCTTTTCACAAGTTTCCTCATTGGTTCACATGATTTCAAACTCCAGAACTGTATTCAACTATTTCAAAAGTTAAGGAGGAATGTAAATAAAGCATTTACCTAACAATAAGGTGGTATCTAAGAGAATAATTGATCCTAATGTTAATTCCTTACAGATGTCCTCTCTTTAGAAAGATATATTGGATTATTTGTTCTTACTTTTTCTTTTCTAAATATTTTATTCATTTATTTGACAGAGAAAGAGCACAAGCAGGAAGAGGGGCAGACAGAGGGAGAGGGAGAAGCAGGTTCCCTGCAGAACAAAGGAACCTGATGTGGGACTCGATCCCAGGACCCCAAGATCATGACCTGAGCCAAAGGCAGTCACCCAACCTACTGAGCCATCCAGGTGCCTTCCTGCTTTTTTAGAAGACAATTTATCACTTAGAATTGATGACAACTTTCAGCTCAATTTTAAATGTCATCTAAAGGAGTAAGATTATTTTGGGAACTTCTGACTATAGTTTTGGTAACTTCTCACCTTTCCTGGGGTTGATACTTTTTTTTTTAACATTTTATTTATTTATTTGCCAGAGAGAGAGAGAGAGCACAAGCAGGTGGAGTGGCAGGCAGAGGGAGAGGGAGAAGCAGGTTCCCTGCTGAGCCAGGAGCCCAGTGTGGGACTTGATTCCAGGACCCTGGGATCCTGACTTGAGCGGAAGGCAGACGCGTAACCAACTGAGCCATGCAGGCATCCCTCCTGAGGTTGATACTTTTTGATATTGTTTTGGTTGGAGTGCCTTTGTAGCAAGCGACAGAAAACCCAGATAGTCTGTTGCCCATACAGTAAAAACCTATACAATTGGTTTGATCATGGCTCTGGTTCCGTTTCTCTAAGTTCTCTTAGCCCTGTTTTAGGTTTTGTCCTCTAGCTGGCTTCTCTCATGGTGATAACACAATCCATCATACCTGCCATCACTGCATCATCCAGGAGGAGAAAGCTTTTCTTTCCCTCTCCCTCTAAAAAGCTCCAGACAGGGCTTTACTCTGCATCAAATTAGATTGTGTCTTTCATTCTGGGACTAGGTCAAAAGAATGGGATTAATCTGAATGGTTTAAGTCAATTAGAAGCTGTCCTTGGAATAGAGCTGGGGTCAATTACAACCAAACTTCATGCCTGAAAGACTCAAGGTTCTGTTAGGAAGAGGGAAATATATACTCCACTCCTTTCTGGATCTCTGACAATGCTACTGAACTGTAGATAGCTCATTAGTTCCATCATGGCTCATTCACATTGGTTATCCCAACACAAAGTGTCATATACAGTAAGTGTTCAATTAATATATATTTATGTATTTATTTTTAAAGATTTTATTTATTTGAGAGAGGGAGAGAGAGAATCTGAAGCAGACTTCACCCTGAGTGCAGAGCCCGATGTGGGGCTCGATCCCACAACGGTGAGATCACGACCTGAGCTGAAACCAAGAGTCAGATGCTTAACCAACTAAGCCACGCAGGCGCCCGCAGTTAATGTATATTTAAAATAAGTTAGTCAGAGGCTAAAGAATGAATTCAATAATGGCTTGTTTTTATGATTTTAAATAAAGTATGAATACGTTGGCTTAAAAATACCTTTCTAAGTCAATGGATTGAGAAAGTAGTCATGTTTAAAATTGAGCATTTTTTGGTTATTTTTGCTATTGATTGTGGTAATAGCTACCATATGTTGTTATTACCCCACACAGCCAAACAGAAAGTTAGAAGGATGATTCATGGAGAAAACAGTACCCTCAATATGGAGATTAAAGTCCAGGAAGTGGAAGACAGCATAAAATATTCATATCATTACTTTCAAAACTTGTTTCAGATGTTGTCATAAGATGTTATCACAAGAAATCAAAACAGTAAATCTGGGAATACTCATTGAAAATGTGAGACTAAAAACATGTTGTTGATGTCATTTAGCGAAGTCCGTGTCAACAAGGAAAGATGGGAGCCCAGGACTTTCCAGGTTTCCGCCTTATGGCTTTGCCTTATTACCAAGCCACAGTGAATGAAACCAGCCACATCTTTCATTCTGGTCCAGTGTTATGGCCACATAGCATATGTTAAGCCCTGATCTCTAGTATCCACACAGACCATGCCTTCAGAGATAAGGCATTCTTTTCATCAACTGTGTTCTAACCACCAGCCAGAACTTTTCCCACTGAAGTGTCTCCTGACTGCTGACCACTTCAAATATGAGAGAAACACACACCTGAGTAAAACCCATGGTTTAGTTTTCTCCAGAGAGGAGGTCGCCATCTGGGTAGGTAGAGCCCCTGAAGTGGTTTCCAAGCTTGTTCTTCAGAGACCCAGGGTTTTGCCAAGGCTCAGGGACGGACATGAGGAGGAGGGTACTAGTGGATGTGATTCCATTCCTTACCTCTTTTCTCTGCTTTATAAAAAGATCTTTTATATATCAAGATCCTCTATTCAGTTTTATTTAAAAAAAAAACAAAAAAACAAAAAAACAAAGCCAGTGGCTACAAAGTTTGGAGACCCCTTGCCATACAGAATAGGTGAGTATCCATGCCTGGAAGGCATAGCCGAAAACACTGTGATAAGTTAGTGAAGGTCTTAGTGACATATGGATGCCATGGTCTGCATACTGGTGAAACATCTGACTGAAAGAGCAAAAGTTTCAGTTGTCATCTAGACTGGTTATTTACCACGCAGATATTTAACTGTGTATCACTCTAAATTCTCAAATAAGCAAATGGAATATTAAATGATTTCTAAAATGCAAAGCCTTACAGTGTCATATATTATTACAGATCTGCCAGTGATTCCCATGGGGCAAAACAGAACTTCTCAAAAGGCCTGAGCATATGGGTAAGTGACTCTCTGTGGCATTGTGACTTAGGAAATTAAAATTCCCATTAAAAAAAAAAAAAGTCTGTTCTAGACTTGTGACTAAACATTCTTCTGTTAAAAATTCACTTTTCTAGAGCAGAACATTGTCTTCTGTTAAAATGTAAATAATTCCATGTAGAAGATATGATGTTTCACAAAATACATACTCAAGTTTTCAAAAATATAATTAAAAAATATCTGGAATTGCATTTATTTTAGTGTGCGATACCCTCTTTAACAACAGAAAACTGAATCTTGCCCAATTGAGGTAACTCAGTCACTTCTGGTTTTAAACTCAGTTTTTTTGGAAACTTACTACTCAGCCTTTCAAGAGTCTTTTCCCCCTTCTTCCATTCTCCTTGAAAGAATCTGGGTTTATGGAGGCTTATCTAAGGGAATGCTGGTGCATTGAAGAGTGCATGTCTTATCTGTGGTGGTCTCCTGCCCTCAGAGGCCTTTGCTGAGGTGTAACTCACCTCACCAGGTCTTGGGGATTGACTTCTGCCTTTGCTTCGTCTTCCACTTCCAGTTGTATAATCTATACTCTCTGTGTCCTTCTTGACCCAATCACAAGGGTTCTTTAGTCCATCATTCCCTTAGATACTTCTCTGCCTCCTTGGGGACCAGGAACCCCCGACTGGTCCCTACCCCAAACTAAGGTGAGTAGAACTCTGGATAAAAAGGGTGGTATGTGGGGCACCTGGGTGGCTCAGCTGGTTAAGCTACTGCCTTCGGCTCAGGTCATGATCCTGGAGTCCCAAGGATCGAGTCCTGCATTGGCCTCCTTGCTCAGCAGGGAGTCTGCTTCTCCCTCTGACCCTCCCCCCCTCATGTGCTCTCTCTCTCTCTCTCATTCTCTCTCTCAGATAAATAAATCTTAAAAAAAGGGTGGTATATGGACATGATATGAGTACATAAACTATTTAAATTATTTGTTATTAGTTTTTAATGAGATCAGTACAGGAATTGAGAATAAACATTCAGAAACTTTTGTAGAAATTTGGATTTAATAATTAAAACTTGGGGCTTGTATTTTTATGTTTTTGGATTTTCTTTATTATATACCTAGTGATTCATTTTTATTATTCTATTTTTATTAAAAAAGTAACTGGGCCTTCACCACAGTGAGTTTGAGAAGTCTTGGCCTGGATGATTGCTTTTCCTGTTCAGGCTCCATGTTGCACCTGGCATAGGGCTTCTCTGTGCGATCTGGGAAGCTACATCTGCCCACTCCCCAGGCCATGAGTCTCACTGACCCACCGAAAGGAAAGCGACAGGCAAATCAAGAAAAAGCATGAAAAGGAACCTCTGTTAAGATCTTAAAATATTGTCTACCTCACCATCTGGATATCCCTTAACAAAAAATACAGGAAAGTAGAAAGAGCTACATAAATGTAAAAAAATCATTTTACCTCTAGGGAGCCTGATTTTCCTCAACAATAAAAAGAGAATAATAAACCCCATTTCACTGATTGTTGTAAGGCTTAAATGAGAAAACATACATAAAATTCTTAACTCAGGGCCTGGCACAGAAATATTAATTTCCTATAACGTAAGTAGAGTTCCTAAAACATTTTTTCATTTCAGCAGTTAAGTTCTCTACCCATGTATAAAACATAAATGTCCATTCTTATTAATCTTTACGTTACCGGAAGTTGAAAATTCACTACATAGGGCTGTAACTGTAGGAATCATAGTATTTACTAGAATTGTAAGAATTAAATGAGAGAACAAATGCACAGTGGTCAAACAAAGTGCCTTGGATGTAGGAGGAATTGAATTAATGATAGTGTCCCCCGTGATACACACATGCACACACACATACGCATTCACCCACACACATAGGCACATCTACACACACTCACCCATACCTAGCATACTCGGATACAAGATTCAAAAGCTGTTTTCTGTCAGTAAAATAAAATATGCAGTAGACCTGGGCATCTACTGTGGATGATGTTTTGTTGATATATTTGGTGTATGAGTTTATTAAGTAGAAACAAGGCAAAAAAATGACGGCTGCCTCCTGATGATTTTGTTCTCTAGCTTTCAGAGAGTGATTCCATAATTGCATCTGTTTTCTCCCTATCTTGCCACAGTGTGACTTTGGTAAAGTAATTATACTAGCAAAGGATGGTTTGGATCTTGGAAGTGGAATATTTCTCTTAAACACTGCTATTTTAATTAAATGTTCCCCTAGGAGAACAGTGTTTAGTTGTGCAAATGAAACGTGCCCAGCCTTGGGGCACTTTGAATCCAATAGAGGAAATAGAGCAGCCTAGTCAATTGGGCACAAGCTATGAGAAGAGTGAAACCATTTATCAGGCAGACTGGAAGTTAATTATTTAGTCAAAATATAATATGTCATAACATACCAAATGCATCAAGCCACGTGGGGCAAATACGTAAATGTGGCGATTATTGATCACCACCAAATTAATGCCTTGGTTGTTTAATCAGTTTTGTATTTGTTTTTAGCACTTTAAAATCAGTTAAAAGCCAGTGCAATAAAAACAATGGTTGGAGCTAATACAGAGATCAAAGCCATAATCAAATTTCAAAGTCAGAAACTGAATTTGGTTCATAAAGCCCCAGAAAGCATGGTTTCAGAATCACTATGTAGACTAGGGCTTATGGGGAAATTTTCTCAATGGCATAAATGAGACCCACACACAAAGTAACAAAGAGAGTAATCATCTTCTCTTTATACATCTCTGGGCCTTCAAATCCACCCACAGTCCTGGACAAAACATACTTTCACATAATTTGGGGAGTAAAGTGGTATCAGGAAATGAAAATGATGGGGATGAGAGAGCACTACATTATCAGAAACCTGTCTTAAAATGTACCCAGGGGTTGATTTAATTTGTTTTATGGTAAGACCCGTAGACATGGAAATGACTATGGTGAAGGAAGGAGTTTTTATACTCACAGATCTTTAGAAGCTGGAAGCTAGGCATGCCACGCAGGTCCACATGGGAAGAACAGGTTGGTCAGGAGGTAGAGGGAAGGCAAGGGGAAGTGTGGGAAAAGTCTTCATTGTGGTTTCTGTGGGAAAGAATGGGCCAGGCAAGGCAAGGCAAGCAGATTTAAGATTGGCTAGTTTGAATAATTGCAGCAGGCTCTGGGGTGTATGGATTGTCCTGAACTGTTTTATACTTGGTCCTGAGGTGATCAGGGCAGCGGGGCTGGTGGCTGGGTACCTGAGAATTCTGTAAAGGAGGTAGTCAGGGAGCTTGGGCTGCAGATTGGGTGGTTTGCATATGAAAGGGGTGCTTCCAGGCAAGTCCTTTACGGTCCCTAGGAATTGCCCCTGAGAGACGGTCTCTCCAAGGCAGGTGAGGCCCTAGAGCATCAAAAAATAGAGAAAATATGAGAATATGGGTAATCCAGAACCTTTCTTTCTCTGCGTTCTGGGATATGAAGAATATTAAAGTATTGAAAACACTGGGTCTGGCATCACTCTGTATGTCACTCAGCTGTGCTAAGGGCTGTCTTTATTTTTATGCTTTGTTAACCCTTCAAAGATGCTATCTGAGCTTTGCGGATCCTGACCAGGCATTCCTCTTAACTACAGATTATTTTGCAGCTCTGCTGCTAATCATGTTTTTTTCAATAGCAAGAAGCCTTAAAAAGTTAAATAATGAGAAAATGACTCTTTAGATACCAGTGAGTCTGCAGAAGTTCTCTTGAAAACTCTTCACTTATGGAGAAATGTCTAGGAAGGCTGCCCACTGAGGGTGTCAGTGAAGGTATTAAGAGATCAAGCATTGTTGAGGAAAGATGAACATCCCATCATGACATAAACAGAATACATTCTAGAAATTAAGGTCTTGATACTTCAAAAAGCAGAAGCAGCGATATCCTTCGACTGAAATAGGTGGGAAAGGTTTTAAGATCACTGTTTTATACCTCATACACAGGATAAATTATAAGCCAAACTGTGGCCAAATTTATCATATCAGAGGTGTATTTTACGTTCATTTATTTAATGTGATCACTATAATGCCTATGGTTACATTTGTGCTAAATTTTCAGTTATTAAATTTGATTTTCAGTAGATTAAATTTAGCAGTAAAATGTTCTCTGTGCCAAAGCATAAAAGGAAAATCCTCAGGCAATAGCATTTTTTCAATCATTATTTTTTGAAATGCATTTGGTTGTAATAAACACAAACACACATGGCAAAATATGACAACTATTTTTTTCATTGTTAGCATTTTCATCTGGAAGTTTGAAATTTAGCCAACAATTGTTCCGAGGTCAAGAAGTGAAAACATCATAAAAATGTTTTCTCACAGAAAATAACACTGCATTGATCACATCTAACCGGCTCTGGAAAAATAACAAAGAACCAGTCCTCTGTCTCCAAGGGAACAAATGCGGGTGTCTCCCTTAAACAGTGGCTATTCCTTGTCTCACCACTGTGGGGTGCTGCTTCCCATTAAATTGTGTGTGTGTGTGTGTGTGTGTGTGTTCGCTTTTTATATCTATGATGCCTAATGTTGAAAGGATAGTATACATTCTGATTTGGAAATATCAAGTGCTAAGATCCTAGGTACTGAATCTGAGCTCTCTGAGCTTGACTGTGGAGATTCGGCTTTACCAGATGATAACTAGTTATCCTGAGCCTGAAATTACAGGTATTTCCCGCTCAACAAATGGCTTCCATGATGGTAGCAGAACTCCAACTAACCATATTGCTAATTCATCTGATTCCACACACAGACAACCTTTCAGATTATGGAAGCATTTAACTCTCTTTCCAGTTGAGACTCCTGTGTTTCACCATTTTAGTGAAAGAACAATTAAACAAACAAGTAAGATTTTGAATATGGATGCTCATGTAGACTTGCTAGTTAGTTTGGTTAAAAAGAAAAAAAAGAACTCCACAAGACTACTTGACTTAAGGGGAATAAGTTAAAGACTACAGGAATAGCTTAAGGAACTCAAAGGAGGAGACTATAACCTCCACGATG